GACCCCTGACACTGTGCCCTGATCCCACCCTGTCTGTAGGTTTTTCCTCATGTGCTACATGTTCGTAAACCTGGCCTGTGCCGTGCAGACCCTGCTGCGCACCCCCAACTGGCGCCCCCGCTTCAAGTACTACCACTGGTGAGACCCCACAGGCTGGGGCCCCTGGTGACATGCCACCGCCCACTCCCTTCTCACACCCGGTCCAGGGCCTCCTCCTGGCGTGGACTCTCATGGGACAGGGGTCTCGTCCAGAGAGGGAGTCTCGTCCTGGGGTCCAGTGGAGGATGGATGAGGGGGGTTTGTCATAGTGGATGCAGGGACCTCCTCCTGGGGGCGGGGTCTTCTGGAGATGCGGCCTCTTCCTGGGGATGGAGCCTCCTTCTCGGGGTGAGGTCTCGAGGGGCTTCCTCTTGGAGGAAGCCCTCATCCTGGGGTGGGGCTTCATCCAGGGAGGTAGAGTGTCTCTTCCTGGGGGTGAGACCTTCTCCTGGGGGTGGGCCTTTCGGGGCGGCGTGGGGTGCGGGTAAGGCCTTCTGGGGTGGTACCTCATTTATGAAAGGGTTTCCTCATGGAGGTGGGAAACAAGGCCTCATCTGGGAGAGAGAGTCTCTTCCAGGGGGTGGTACCTCCTCTAGGGAGGGGTCTCCTGGGGTAGGGTTTGTTTTGGCTGGGTCTCCTCTAGGGAGAGGATCTTGTTCTGGGGTGGCGTGGGGGAGTTCTTTCCGCCTGGGGTGGGATCCATCTTGGAGTGGCGACAAGGTGCCCTGGGTCGTTTCCAGAAAAGCCCAGAAGTTTCTGTCATGTTGTGTGAAGCAGGGCTGGGGTCCTGCAGGTGATTTCTCTGCCTGGCCCTGAGCCTAAAGGTGTTAGACACAGTCCTCTCACAGTCAGTCAAGTCTTCCTCGGCCAGAGGGGAGTGTGCTTTGGCCACTTGTGTTCCTGGACCACAGACTGGGCGTTGGGTGGACATAATGGTGAGGCAGCAGGCGTGGGTGCTGACCCTGGATGGAGGGCAGGGGGAAGTCCGTGTCACTGGCTCCGACCCGACAACCAGGATGGCAAGCTCTTGGGTCACTGTGTCCTCCTAGCCTGGCAGCTGGGGGTTCAGGGTGGACAGGGTGAGGGCTGGCTGATTTTGCCCTCCTGCAGGACACTCTCGTTTCTGGGAATGAGCCTGTGTCTGGCCCTGATGTTCATCTGCTCCTGGTACTATGCGCTCTGTGCCATGCTCATCGCCGGCTGCATCTACAAGTACATCGAATACCGAGGGTGAGCTGTCCTGTGCCCACTGGGTGGGGAGCATGGGGTGGGCTGAGCTGCTGGCCAAACTCGTGGTCTGAGTGATGTGTCCTGAGTGGTCGTCCGTGGCCTGTGTGCTGTTTTTTGATGTGTGTCATTGTGTCATCCGTGGCCTGTGTGGTGTGTCCTGTGTGGTCATCTGTGGTCTGTGTGGTATTTTCTGTGTCCTGTGTGATATCTATGGCCTGTGTAGTATGTCTTGAGTGGTCATCCATGGCCTATGTGGTATTTTCTATGTCCTGTGTGATGTCTGTGTCCTGTGTGCTGTGTCCTGAGTGGTCATCTGTGGTCTGTGTGGTATTTTCTGTGTCCTGTGTGCTGTGTCCTGAGTGGCCATCTGTGGTCTTTGTGGTATTTTCTGTGTTCTGAGTGATATCTATGGCTTGTGTGGTGTGTCCTGAGTAGTCATCCATGGCCTGTGTGGTATTTTCTGTGTCCTTTGTGACATCTGTGGCCTGTGTGGTGGTCTGTGGGCTGAATGAAGGATACATTGGCCTGTGTGGGACTTTCTGTGGCCTGTGTAGTGTTTTGTGGCTTCTGTCCCATGGTTTGTGTGCTGCTCTGTCATCTGTGTTGTGTTCTATGATCTGTGTCGTGGTCTGTGTCCTGTAGGGTGTTTCATATCTTTTGTGCTGTTCTGTGGTCTTTGTAATGGTCTGTGATGCATTCTGTGGCCTGAGCGGTGCTCCGTGGACTGAGTGGTGTTTTGTGATCTGCATAGTTTCCATGACCTGCATGGCATTCTGTGGTCTGTGTGGTGTTCTGTGGACTGTGCTATCCTGTAGCTTGCATGATGTTCCATGGTCATTGTGGTTTTCTGTGGTCTCTGTGCCGTTCCATGGCCTGCGTGGTGTTCCGTGATCTGTGTGACACTCTGTGGTCATTGTGATGTTGTGTGGCCTGGGTAGCTGTCTGTGAACTGTCCAGGGCAGGAGCTCACGGGTGTCCTCTTGCAGGGCAGAGAAGGAGTGGGGTGATGGTATCCGGGGTCTGTCTCTGAATGCTGCCCGCTATGCACTACTCCGTGTGGAACATGGGCCCCCCCACACCAAGAACTGGAGGTGAGTGCGGTTGTGGAAGGCCCTTACCAGCCCCAGAGGGACTGCACTGACCCCAGAGGGCACACATTGACCCCTTAAGGTGTTCACTGACCCCAGAGGGCATTCATTTATGCTGGAGGACACCCACTGACCCCAGAGGATACCTGCTAACCCCCAAGGGTCCTCACTGACCCTGGAGGGAGGCAGTCACTGACATGGGAGGGCACTCACTGGCCCTGCGTCTTTTCTCTGCGCTGTTCTGTGTTCAGAGGTCTTTGCATGACCAATTCTGAGAAGCCAGCCCTGGGCACTTGGTGGAGGACATGGGTCAGGTTCCAGTCATTGTCCCTCATAGGGCAGTGCCCTTCCATGAGCATCAGCCCTGGGGTATCACCTGGTGCAAGGTAGAGTGTCCTTGTGAACCAGCACCATCCCCTCTCTGGGAGCTGATCACTGTGGATGGTGTGTGGCCCTCATGCCTCAGGGCCACGCTCACTGCTCTGACTGCACTGGGACCACCAAACACAGCCCATGTCGGCCACCACTGTCTCGAGCATAAGGACACGACGTGGTTGTGCTGTCCCCTGTGCTGACCATCCATGCCTGGCAGACCCCAGGTGCTGGTGATGCTCAACTTGGACGAGGATCAGGCCGTGAAGCACCCACGCCTGCTGTCCCTCACAACCCAACTGAAGGCCGGCAAGGGTCTGACCATTGTGGGCTCCGTGCTTGAGGGCACCTATCTGGACAAGCATACTGAAGCCCAGCGTGCTGAGGAGGTGGGTAGGATGTGGACAAGGGAGGGGAGAATGAGGCGGGACGGAGAGGGAGGGCACGAGATGGGGAGGTGAGGAGGAGCAGACGAAGAAAGAGTGGGGCATGGAAAGGGAGGACAGAGGATGGGGACAGAGGAGGAGGGAGGAGAAACGCAGATGGGAAGGGGAGAATGATGGGAAGGGGAGAATGAGTAAGGACAGAGGAGGAAGGAGCGGGGCATGGGTGAGGTGGGGTGGGGGTGAGGACATAGTCCAGGAGGGATGTCATTTCTCACGTGATTTGTACAAGGAGGCCAACTTGACTGTGTTGAATATGTTTCTCGCCCATGTGTCCACACTCTTCTGTAGTCACACTCGTGTTCTCACACCCATGTTCTCAAATTCGTGTGTTAACCCTCCTATTCTCATCTCTGTGTTCTCACTCTCCTGATCTCATGCTTGTGTTCTCACTGCTATGTTCTCACTCCTGTGTTCTCGCCCATGTGTTCTCACCTCGTGTTCTCTCCCAC